CTATGAAAACTAAAAACAGAAACAGTGACAACTTCAGAACCCTGTTCATTGATTTTCTTGATTCAATAGTAAAAAGGAACGGTGAAGTAAGCTCCTCGAACAGCCAGCAAACAAGCCTCAAATTTTCCTCAATGGTTTTTTCTTCGTTTCGGACACAATGTTTGAGTTTAACCCAATCATATGCAGAGAAAAATCTAACTTCACATTCGCTACACCCAAGCTACTATCTATGACTGTCGAATGAGTGAGAAGATTTAAAGTGCAATCCCACCCGAACCTATTCACCCCGGGCAAAGTGAACACACCGAGGTGCCCCGACATGACACCACTACCTTCATGATCATCACATTCCAGGCGGAAAGGGTCACCGCGTTTTACGAATCCTATACACACAAGTCTGTCGGATAATTTTCAGGGAACAGACAAATGCTGATGGAGCGGCATCTGATACGTCATCAATTGCCTCAGATTTGAACCTGAATTGAAAAACTATGCGGGAAAAATATTTAAATTCGAATCAATTTATTAGTCTAGATAGTAAGTTTAGAAACTAAATCAGAGCATCCGCGGAATCGGGAGACCTCAATCAAAACTTCTCGGTGCCAGAAAATAAGTTAATAGTAAGGTACCACGAGATTCTGTAAAACGATATCAGTTTTTCTGCTAACCGTCAACTCATAATCCGTCTAACAGTTGTAAAACGTGACGGAAACAAAAGACTAAAACTTTTTCCACCGATGATAAATCTGTCAAAGCGATAGCACATTTCACATCCGATCAAACTTTGCCACTATTCTGTTTCGGCAACTCAATGAGGTCTCCTTATTCAAACAACAATTACCTCAGGGATTTGAACACGACCCACCATTCAATTGAACGCAATAAACAGATCGTCTATGTGAAGGGACCGGGCGAAAACATCTGTCTCATGCACAAATTTCGAAGGCTCTAAAGTTCAGCATTGGCGTCGCTCTTTGTGTGTCAATCGATTACTGTCGACCAAAAGGCGACTAGTAAATCGATAAATGTAGCCGTGGTTATTGTACCCCTGTGGTGCTGCTGTANATTGCAGTTTGCCACCAAGACGCCAGTGGACTGGATAGTGGATTCGAGTGAATTATGGTCACGGCTGTTTATGAAATAGTGTGAGGGTAATGGAGGAAAAACTTGATCATAGAGGAGAAAATTACGATGTGAAACTACGCGTTTGAATTTCATCCAATACGGTGACAGGATCCTTGGGGATTTCTCGGGAAAATGTTCGTTACATTTGGAGAGATTCTGTCTGTCCCGATTGTCAGCAGTGACGCACAATCGACCCGAATGGAAGTCGTTTTCAGCGAGTTAAGCGTCTTACGATCGCCAATCGTGTAGCTTTATTTTTCATCAAGCTATTTGCATCTAATTTCAAAGTGCTTGCGTATGCATCAGCTCTTTGTGTCAATTTATTTGGAAAAGTTTTAATTTTAAATAATTATTTTATTCTGAACATTGATGTTGGCATAATCGCATTTTAATGTGATTCATTGATGTTTGAGTTACCGTGAGTAATCTTTTTCACATAGATTTTACAATCGGCTTTTTTATTTGACCGTAACTAAAATTTCGATAACGTTGTGTTATTGATTTTTTTACATTCACAATAAGCAGTTTGCTCCTTGAGCGTACTCTTCATGAACCGATTATTCCTTTGGTCATAATACAATGTAACTTATCATCTATTTGTTTACTCTCGGGGCAAAAGTTGACCAAATGAATGAAATATTATCTTTCCTGACACCGATCCTATGAACGACATCTTGCTGGATAGCGAATAGACCTCTTCGTGAGTAAATTGCTACTACCAGCCATCTCTGATCCGCGTTTTAGTATCTTCTGCTGAANCAAATGTCCCATTCACTTGTGAGGGTCACTGAATTGGGACCGCGCTATGATGCTCAAGGAGCGATACCTGTGCTACCTGGAAATGATGAGCTGTGCAATCTCGTGTATTAGGAAAATGAAAAAGGTCCGATCATTTGCCTGGTAGCCGATTAAGTAATATACTCTCGCTCTGCCTGTGAGTTCTGGGTTCGATTCCCAGTTGGGTGGATGGATTTCCACTGCTGGTGAAACCCAAACGGATTGAAACAGCTGTTCAGTGCTTCCTAGCTTTTCAGTCCACGTTTCATTTGCTCGTTACACGAAGAAATTCACTATATAAACAAAAAATCCTCCATGTTGATCATATATTCATTCGAGTGTTCAAAACAGGAAACCTCATGATTACCTCCACGGGATCATCAAAGCACTTAGTGTTTGAGCTATTGGGGAATAAGCATAAGGACTTTGGTGAGCAAACCGGGAATGATTACTGGAATA